TCGAGGCCAAAGGCCGTCGAGCACGCCGCGAGCGCGAAGACGGCGAACAATAACCACAGCTTGGGGAACATGGTCGGTGTTTGGTGGTGGTGGAGGAGAGGACACGGAGAGTCGCGGATGCGAGGGAAGTGGTGTCGTGTGGGCCTTTTGCAATGGGGCTGACGCGTGTCACGGACGGGCAGATGTGTATGTAAGTGGCTATTAAAGGAGTTTCGTGATGGGAGAGAGTGTGTGGCTGTGTGGCTGTGTGGCTGTAGCGTGTATAGGGCAAGGAGGATTCAACGAGGGCAGGAAGGTGCAAGTGCTGGAAGTGAGCGATGGCCCGAGGGCGACAATGGGCGCGGTAATGTACAGTACAATAGAAGACGAGTGTCGGGCGTGTGACCTGGGGGGCGCTGGGTGACGATCCGTTGTGCGCGAGAGCAGAGACGCGGGCCAAATTTAGCTTTGCGTGCAGGGGCGCGACGGCCACGACCGTCAGCCAATCTCGCGGCAGTGCTGGCTGAGGCCACGGCCCATGCCCAGCTGAGGCCCTGCATTCCCCCGTCGCGCCCAGAAGGCTGCCCTCGAGAAAATCCTGCCCTCAACAGAAACACTGGCTGGCTGCCGCGCCGCCCACCGACGCCCATCATGGCCACCTGCTCGGCTGCTGCCCGCGGCCAGCGGCGCAGACAGCGACAACAACAAACAACAAACATCCTTTGTGCGGTCCTGGGCCCCCGACTGCCGACACGTGCTTGCAGAGGCGCCGAGTCCCGTTTGTCAAGCTGCACCCCCGACGCCCGCTTGGCTCCGCCATTCGCTCGCCGTCCACGTCCCCATCGGCGCTACCCTGCTTGGAAACACCTCCGCCTTGGGCCTGCGTCATATCCTCTGGCTGGGAATTTTGCTTCGCTGCGAGAGCTGTGGAGACTCCTTTACCAATTAATTACAGTAGATTCGTGTCCTCGCGTCGCACAGCGTGCAGCTCAAAAATGATCGCGGCCACCATGTCCCACATGCCGGCTTTGACCACCCACGAGGCCTTGTCCGGTGTCTTTGGCTCCATCTCGCTGGCGTCGTGGGTCTTTCTCCTGGTGAGTGGCTTGTCCCATGTATATCCGAGGCACATCGCAGGAGCACACCTTTGGTCCTTTGGCGCGACCGCGACAAGCTGGGGAGAGGCTTGGAGAAACCTACCCTCCACTTTTCGTGTTTGCTTCCCGGGGGACTCGAGGCATGCAGCCTTATCACGTAGCACGCGACAGCACTGCCAAATGCATACTGACCAGACCAGGTGCCTCAACTGATTGAAAACTACAAGTCTGGCTCGGCAGATGGCATTTCCCTCACATTTCTCTGTGTCTGGTTCATTGGCGATGTCACCAACCTCGTCGGCGCACTCTGGGCTGGCCTGGTACCTACCGTGATTGCTCTCGCCATCTACTTTTGTATGCCAACCCCAAGTGCGTAGTGCATGGCTCCTGTGCTGATATGACATCTCCCAGGCTTCGCCGATCTTGTCCTCATCTCGCAATGCGTTTACTACAACATGAAGAACTCGAAGCGCACGCGCAAGACCTCCACCCGCAGTACCGATAGCGTCGAGGCACCACTTCTCGGAAGGCGAGACTCGAGCAACATTGGTCTGCCTGGAAGCCACCGTCGGGACTCGGCCGCCAGCCGTCGGCGTAGGGCCAGTTCTCTGCCGACCATCGCGGACGTCGAGGAAGGTGGAAACGAGTGGATCAAGAACTCCCTCAGTATCCTTGGTGTCTGCGTGGTGGGAGCTGCTGGCTGGGCAATTGCATGGAAGACAGGTGTATGGGTTCCCCAACCTACCCACGACAACGCGGATCCACAAGAAATTGCACTCGGTGCTGAGATCCTCGGCTATGCGAGCGCGATATGCTATCTTGGAGCTCGTATCCCGCAGATCATCAAGAATCAGCGCGAAAGATCATGCGAGGGTCTGTCGTTGCTTTTCTTCATGTTGAGCTTGTTGGGTAACGCCACATACGGTGCAGGAGTAAGTCAACCAACATCATGCGTTCAGCGCCTGTTACTAATTCATATAGATCATTTTCCACTCGCAAGAGAAGGAGTACATTCTCACCAACCTTCCCTGGTTGATCGGCTCCCTTGGCACCATGGTTGAAGACGTGACAATCTTTATCCAATTCCGTGTCTTTGGCAGCGGCGAATCATCTTCTGCGCTTGAGAACTGAAGCGTATGTGGTGCGTTGCCGAAGTTGTCTATCTAACATGTATATAAGGGGTAACGGCATGACTGGTATAGTCATTAAAAGTTTGGGATCTTTTATCTTATGCGATACCCGCGTTATAGGATATCAAGCGTTAGAGGCTAACGATAGTCTGTAGCTCATCCGGTTGTACGCAGCATTTCTAAAGACCAGAATACTCATTGCCCTGATGGCTTGGGCACTTGATCGTGAATGATACAATATGTGCGGAGTGACAATTCAATTCACCAGTGTCTACTTGACCGATGTAATTCTCCAAGTCTCACTTTGGGCACAGAGCTTGTACTTTTCGTGTGCCACATCACAAATCAATTGTCCATATCCAGCGTTGATGGCGTTCACGTGGTCGCGTATCGGTCCACGACGCGACCTTGACGCGTCCAATCCCTGTTTAACGCACCCTTTCACGACTATTGTCCAATCATAGTTCTGCCTTGCAGCCACCCTTCAACACTTTTGTATTAATCGAATTCTGCTGCTAATCATGACTCGATTGTTGTGTACTTAGGAATCTACAATCAGTCTTGGTGGACAGCGACCCCCACTATACACAGCAACCAAACACATACGTAATCCGAGCTTTCGCCATCTGTTCAGAGCAGACTATTCATTGCATGAAGAAAAGAGTTAGAATATGATTTAAAGACTCACATCACAATTCCCATCTATCATGCCACCAAGAATTCCCAAGCCACCCAAAGTTCCCAAGTCACCCAAACCCCCCTCTATAACTGCAAAAGCCCTCCAAACCCTCTTAACACGCATCGGCTCTGCCTCATCCGGCACAAAAACCACACTTAACTCCCGCCTCTTGCGCGATATATCCGTCTCCCGACTGCGCAATTGCCATGCAACATGGGATGCGCAACGGACCATGGAACGGAACAGGAAGTTGAGGATTGTAAGTATAGACATGGGCATCAAGAACCTAGCATTCTGTGACGCCGAGGTGTCGTATCCCGGTCAGAAACAAAGCAAGGATGCCAAAGCAGGGTGGAATGCAATAATGGATGTTATACGATGGGAGAAAATTGATCTAGTGGCGAATACACGAGATCTGCAGAGACAGTCTCCTCAGCTCGATTCCAAAGCCAGTAATAAGAAGAAGAAGAAGAGCGCAGTGGATGAGGAAGAAGATGAAGAGTTGGATCCCTACTCACTCTCTGTTCTCTCGGAGACTGCGTACCGGCTCATTAAAAATACAATATTAGCCAATGCACCCGATATCATCCTCATTGAGAGGCAGCGCTGGCGGTCTGGTGGAGGTAGTGCAGTTCAGCAATGGACTGTGCGTGTGAACACGCTGGAGGGCATGTTGTGGGCTGTTCTAGCGACGTTGAGGGCGGAGAGGGTACATATGCAAGAATCGTACCGGGAGAAGCATCCTCATGCCATGAAGGAGTATGACGTATACGCCGTGGATCCAAAGAGAGTGGGCAATTACTGGCTGCAGCAGGATGCACAGGTAGTAGAGGTCAATGACGGTAAGGCTATCTCGAAAAAATCCAAGGCGAGGAAAGACAGAGGAGAAGACGAAACAGCGGAAGAGCAGCCAGAGGTGGAAACCAAGAAGAAACTCACGCGCAGCAAAGCAGAGAAGAAGGCCAAGATTAATATTTTACGCTCATGGCTCTCCTCAAATACTAGATCCACGGCTTCCACCACCAGCATTACAACACCAACGATTACCTTTAAACTCGGCGCGAGTGCAGAGCGTATACGGCAAGCTCTATGTTCACCGACCAAATCCATTCGACGGAGTAAGAAGACAAAATCCGGCGACGACAGTGTTGACAGTGTCGAAGACGGAGTTGTAGTTGAGGCGGAGTTGAAGAAACTAGATGATGTAACGGATTGCCTTCTCCAGGCTGCAGCTTGGGTGAGCTGGGAGTCGAATCGTTTGCAGATGGAAGGAGTAAAGCAGAGGTATGAAGTGCGGGCCGGGAGCGTGTCGGAAGGTGATGATGGGGTGTTGTTGGAGATGGTTAGGGAGATTGAAGGGGGTTGAGAATCTGAGTATGTCTTTTCGACCAGGACCATGACAGGCTTCGCGATACTCAGTGTTTCTGCACCGGTCCGAGTAGTTCTCCATTCGCTTGTTATACATGGCCGAGGTTGAGCAAAAGTACATACATAACATAGGTACACGACCTAGGACTGGCCACCCTGTCCCACACACAAATTACAAGACTGCGACGCACATCCAGTCTCACCTTCCATGTCACCAAAGATATTGATACAGCCAGCCAAGTCAAATCCACAACTGCATTGAGCACACTGTACATATCAAGACAAATTAAAAAGTATCGCAACTTTACCTTGTTGCTCGGCAAGAACGAATGCTCTGGAGTTACCACCGTCTCCGTCCCTCAACGTCTACCCTTCTACAAAAACTCATCAACGATGCAGTAGCTAATCTCCCCCTAGGATCCAAGAATTCTTCTCAATCTCAGATACACATACCCCAAGCTAACCTCACCAATCTTTGCTTTTCCTCAAACCCAACCAAACAAAGAACCTCCCGCCCGCCTATGAGTCAACCCAAACCACACCAGCCCAACACACTAAAAAAAAAACCCCCCAACGCAAAAACTCTGTCCCCACCCCCACTCCAGCACCCCTCCCTACCACGTCACTTACCAATAAACTGCCTTTGCACCATGTCTTCGCCATCAAACACTCACTCCCTCAAAATCATCAACTTAATAAACACTGTATCCCACAATTTCCCCAGAAGTCTCTATTTCCGCATTGACGGTCTCGGTGGCGCAATGGTAGCGCGTTGGACTTCTACCACACAGTTGTTTGTTACATCTCTGTAATCCAAAGGCTGCGGGTTCGAGCCCCGCCCGAGATGCTTTTTGTTTCTTTTTGCTTTTCAACTTTTGCCACCTACCCCTTCTTTCTTCACCTCTCTCTCTTTACTTGGTTGGAGTGAGGTGGTGACTGGCTGCCTTGGTTTTTTTACTCTCGCGCGCGCGGGTAAGCGGGGGAGAAACGAAAAACGGTCGAGGCATCAATCACACGCAACGTTGGAGAAATCAAATCTTCTTAAAAACACACTCACTCACTCATTCGTTCATAAATAGGTTCGTGCGCGCGTGGGCAAGACTTGAATTCTTGCTCAACTACAAATATGCCACCAGAAATCATTATACCTAGCAGCCATCCATCAAGCCCAGAATCCTCAATGAAACTTGGTCTGATGATATGTAAAATATAACCAACCCACCCCATGGCTAATTCCCAACATGACTTTTCATAACGTGATCGAAAAAAAAACCGAACATTAGCAGCGATGATAGCCTGCAGAGAGACGAAATGTCAAATAACCAGATCTGATCCGATCTTACATTACAATATCATTCCATCGGCAGAAAAGAGAAAATAAAACGCACAAGGCCAGCCCACGCACGCATGTAATTTTTTGAGAAGAAACAAGCTCATGAAAGAGGTCAAAGGCGCTCGCGCTCCTGGAACCGCTCGACAGGGTCAGCAAATGATCGTGACAGGCCCACTGACGCCCAAAAGTCGTCGCTGATGTCTCCCCGGCGTGAGAGCCGCTCGAGTAGTGATCGCGCATCGCGTAATTCCTGGTCCAGTGGGGATGTGCCCGCAGGTTCAATTGGTGAAGTGTCGTCCTCCCCAGCACTCGTCTGCGCACTCGTCTGGTCGTCAACTGGACCGTCTAACTGCTCCAATTGTGTGTTGTTCTCGTCGTTTGCAGGAGGGGCACGGTCGTACAAGTTGCGGACATACGCGCTTGCTTCTCTTGACCTTTCGAGGACTCTTCTTGAGTAGCGTTCCGAGTCACGCATCGGGGGCTCGTCGGAAAAGTATGAGGGTCGCATGCGACGGTGAGATGCCAAGGCGTCCACCGCAACCTGCCGACGACGTTCTATAATCCGGCGACGACTTTCTACCGCCTCTGAGAAAGCCTGGTTTCTGTAGTCCATCTGCCGCCGCCACGCTGGTACAGGCGCCGCATCGACTGGCTCGTCTTCTTCTGTGTCAGACGCAGTGTCGTCGTCTGAAGTGTCACAGGCGCGCATGAATTGCTCATTTTGCGGTAGAGAATCTCGTCTTGAAGGTACTGTGAGGTGTGTTTGTGACGATGTGGCGGAGTTGGAGCTACCAGCTCTTGAGCTGGGGTGGGAATCGGAGAACGAGGCTGAGGCTGCGGCGGATGCAAAGGATGATTCGGCTGTCGGTGCGACAGGATCGGGCATGATCATACTGACAAACGTATCCCATGGTGACTGTTCGTCGAAGGGGCTGATGCTGCGTTCGCGGTCGCCCAGACCATCAAGTGGACTCCACGATTCGCGCAGGGAGCTCGATGGCAGCGGTCCGTCGGCAATGGTGCGGCGACCCATTCTGCGAAGTGGTGGGAATCCCACGGCGTTGTTGTCGCCATTGTCGTGCGCATCATCGAGTCCTTCTGGAAAGTCGCCCCTGGTTGCGCTTGCGGATGCGGCGCGGCCGTTCCTCGAGCGCAACAAGCGCGGTGGCCCAGCGCGAGGGTAGTTCTGCGTATTGCGCATTCGCGTGTTGCGCATTCCGTCGGGTCTCTGCGTGTCTGCGCGTGCGGCTTCACTGAGTTGCTCTTGTAGGCCTGCTGCGGGCGCAAACCCTGGGGTCAGGGCTGGCAAGGGCTCCAGCACGTTTGAGCGCTGGTAGGCGTGCATGAGCCTACCGAGGCGGCTGCGCGTGCGACGCAGGCTGCTTGCAGCGCGCTGTAGAGTTGGCGGCTCCCTCGAGGACTCATTGCTGCGATAGTCGGTCCTCGAAACCTCAGGCACGGGTGGCGGGGCCAGACGCGTGCGCGCATGCGACGGGCGCGCATACTGCCCGAGGTCGTCAGCTTCCCTGCGTGACGTGTACACGAGGATATCGCCAAAGTCGCTGTCGGATGCACTCTGAGGCCGCGGCGATCGCTGGGGTCTGGCGCGACGCCTGATGGGGGATCGCTGGCCGGTCAGGTCTGCGCGCAGCACGTCTCTCTCTTTGGGCTCGTCCCTCTTGATGTTCCATCCGATCGGGATACCCATGGCGCAGGAAATGGGGGGGCAAAGGTATCGGAAAAGATGGGGTGGTGATGCGTTGGTGATGGACGCGCCTGGTGGTGGATTGGGGTCGAAGAGAACTAGGCAAGGTGGGCGCGGGTCGCGAGGGCCTAAAACAGCATGGGCGGAACTGGAGTGAGGCTGAACACGGGGAAGGCGTTCGCGAACACCAGGTACATGTCTCCCTCTCGACACCTGCTGTGGCTTTACCACACGTCGAGCACGCTGGTGCACAATATACGCCCCCTGGCCGAATACGATACCGCGTCTCAAGCTACTGCCATGCCCCCAGACGGCGACGACCAGCCACTCCAACGCAGACAGCCCTCCAGGGCTGGAGCAGGCGCGACGAGGATCGCCAAGACCTGGTTGCCTCGTCCGGGCGGAGGCGAGCCTGCCCAGGTGCCTGCAGCCTCCGGTCCACTCGCTGGCAGCGAGTCGACATCGTCTGCAGAAACGGCGTTTCAGATCGCCAGTCTACACTTGTCTTGACTCACTGCTGCCCATGCGACCGTAACGAGCTCCAGCGGCCATGGCCAAGATCCAGCCCGGATTGGAGCGCATCAGTCAGCTCTTGAAAAATGTGCAGTTCCCATGGAAGGCGATACACGTCGCTGGTACCAATGGAAAGGGCTCCATATGCCATTATGCATCGTCCTTGCTCAAGAGTAAAACCATCAAATGCGGCAAATTCACGTCTCCGCATCTAATAGATAGGTATGCACCCCGTCACGTGGTGATGCGTTGGTGAATCTCCCAGGCTAATCAAGACAGATGGGACTGTATATCCATCGACAATGAGCCCGTCAACAAGAAGCTCTTCGGGAAGATTGAGAAGCATTACACGATGCTAAACTCGAAAGAAAACATCAACGCTTCCCCCTTTGAGATCCTGACCGCCACCGCCTTCCACATCTTCAATGAAGAAAATGTCGAGATTGGCGTAGTCGAAGTAGGCATGGGCGGAAAGCTCGACGCCACCAACATCCTGCAGAACCAAGTCATCTCAGTCATATCAAAGATCGCACGCGACCATGAAACCTTCTTGGGCAACACACTGGAAGAAATCGCCCTACACAAGGCCGGCATTCTCAGGCCAAATACCCCTTATGTAGTGAATCCCTTGAACGAGTGGAATGTCCACGATGTCATCGAGCAGTATGCTGAAGAAATTGGAGCCGGACCCCGCCTCACTGGTCATGATCCTGATTTGGAACCCTTGTACTCCACTAGAGGTTGGTCCAACGTCGCCCCACGTCTTCAGCCGTTCCAGCGAGACAATGTAGTTCTGGCCATATTAGCAGCCCAAGAAGCATCCAGAAGCCTGAACCTGAACTTCAGGCCCAGCCAGGTTGCCATGATGCTAAAGGATTTGAAGAAAGAACCAATACGTGGGCGTTGCGAGTTTATCTATGCACAGCCCGTGTTTGGCCAGCACATGAGGTTGGGAAGGAGGATACTTGTCGATGGAGCTCATAATCCGGATGCCGCCATAGTGCTCGACGAGTATGTCCATGCGAATCAAAGACTGAAGCCTATCAACGATCAGCGACCTCCAAGCGGTAAATGGCCCGTAACTTGGGTACTTGCTATGACAGAAGGCAAAAACGCACGACAGTATCTAGAGCATCTGCTCAAGCCAGGCGACAACGTCGTGACTACATCTTTCGGCCCAGTCGAGGGCATGCCTTGGGTTAAACCCATGAACCCAAAGGAACTACTTACCATCGCAGAGTCGGTAGAACCAGGAATATTTGGTGTCCACATGCCCGAAGCTGGTCCGCTTCGAGCGCTTTGTGCAGCCAAACACCTCACCGATGGTGATCAGCCTATTGTACTCACAGGGAGCTTGTACCTTGTTGGCGACTTGCATCGCGAGTTACGGCCTAGAACCGGAGCTGTATATTGGACCGATCCCAAGCACGAAGAGGACAGGGCAATGTTCCAAGAAATGCTGGAAGAAGAGCGGATCAGAGTCAAAATGGCACTCTCCCGCGCGGGTGACGAAGATACTGATCCGATTGGGCCCATACCTGTCCATGCTACCGAGGAGCAGAAAAGACGCATGGAAGAACGCCAAAGGCGTAATCAAACGCAAGAGCAAATCCGTGCGGTCGACGAGGAGCTGAAGCGCCTTGAAGAAGAGGCCGAACAGGACATCAACCCACTACTGTCTCTTCATCTGGATCAAACTGCTGCCTCACATCCCAAAACGGAAGGACAAGAGGAGCAGGTTGGAGATGCATCGAATACACCGTTGAGTCAGCGGTATGCTAGATCTCTTGATGAGATACGAAACAAGATACACGCACTGCAAGCTTCTGCCAGAGTTATTACGACGACAGACCAGCCGATATTGAAGCAGAGAGAACAGAAGATAGCATCGTCCGGCACAGAGGAAGAAGTTTCAAATGAGGCTGACAAGGAGAAGGCAAGCGACGTGCCGATTTCCGCCTAATCACAGCGTGTATAGATGTTTAACAAATGTGCGATATTGAACGATCGAGATTGTGTAAAACTAGACAATAAGAGCTCGGCAGCATATAATCTCGAATAACACCACCTTGTTCCACGGATGCACTTTCCCTCTTCAAGTTCTCCAAACCACTCCCCTGGGACTAATTTATCTTATTCAATCCTCTCGCCCAGCCCAAACATCTTCACCGAATTTCTCCATGCCCTACACCAAACACATTAGCTCACCTTCCTTCACACACACCTCTTCTTATGAATCACTTACGCATCAGCAACTTCCTCCACACTCACGCCCTTGATCCCAGCAACAGCCCAC